TCCTTCTGCTTTACAGATGCTAAAACTGAGTCTTGGGGGGACTGAATATCTTGAAGAAGGTCACAGCCTAGCTCTACACTTGTGTTGAGCCCCAAAGGCTGAGCCGCCATCCTCCAACCAAGAGCATCCACTGGCCGAAAGCTGCTAACATGGGCTCTAAAAGCTTATTTTGTCAAATGCCTGAGTCAAGCACTCTCTCCCTCCAGCCTTTGTTCTTGCTGTTTCTGGTCCCTCTGCCTGGACTCCCTTCACTTCTTCACCTCAGTAACTCCTAGCCGTCCTCCAGGTCCCAGCACTTTGGTCTCGGCTTTGCAGACTTCTCTGACATCCCTCCTTATTACCCCAGTTGAGCCAGGGTAATGACTCCTTTGTAAAGTCTTCCTTTCCCCAGACCCCTCTGTGAGCACAACCTCTCCAGTTTTTGTATGTGTCCCAAAATAGTGTACTGTACCAGATTCCATCACACACCCCAAAATCCCCTGGTGAGTGACTTATCACTGATTGCAAAAAAAAAAAAAAAAAAAAAATCCAATTTTTTTCATCTTAACCAGCTGAACCACCCACTCTCTGGCCCAGCCTAACTTTCAGCCTTACCTAGAAGCACCACCTCTGTTTTCCAAGTAAATGAAATCACCATACACTCCTCCCCACCTAGGGCTGGGCTCTCCTCTCTCCCAGCCTTGGCTCATGCTGTTTCTTCCAAGAATGGCTCCTTCTCTACCTCTCATTGTGTCCACATCTGGCCTCTCCTCAAGCCCCATCCAAAGTCTGGGGCTGTGCCATGAGCCTGTCAGCACTTGAGCGAAGGTAAGTATTTAGGGAATAAATGTCTCGACCTCGCTCTGCTGTGACATCATTCCCCCCACCCCCCTTGGAGGAGGCATATATGTAATGTCTTATCCACTTTCCCAGACTAGGATGCAAGGCTTCAAATATCTCACTTACAGTGCCTTGCACGTTGTAGATGCTTGAAAAACAGTTGATGAGAACAGATGAATAATGCTGCATGAAGACTGTGGGTATGAAGGCGGTATCAGATTAGTGATTAGATTAGAAGTACCTGGAAGCTCAGGAGATCTTGGAATAAAACACAGGAGCCCATCTCAGTGAGCAACAGGGAAACCAGGAGCACATTTAGACTACCAGCCCGCTTGATTCTTGTTGGGGGTCCCTAGAACTTATACCTTTAACCCAGTCTTCCAAGGATCTGAAAGGTTTTCTCCATTTGAGGTACATGTATATTTTGGGACTCCCACTTCTTTTGTAACATGTGACATTGTAACAGAGAGCATGTGCTAGAAAAATTCCAAAAACACACCACAGGCACAGTTTTGACCTTGACGAAATAATCGGTCAATACCGGTAAGTGAATGTGGGTTCTGAGAGCGTGTTTTGTCTGATGTTCATGACAGAACATATTCATATTCTGTAAATAAGAAGTTTTAAGTCCATTGATTTGTTGATGCCTCTGAAACACCATCTATGGGCTTTCCAAACCATGAGAAAAGGTCTGATATTTTCCAAAGAAGACAGAGTAAGCATGGTGGTTGTGAGTGTCTTGATTTAAATCATGCACATAGAGCATTAATAGAGACTTTACACTATTAATTTTAGCCTTTTTAAAAGCTACTTTGCTAAGAAATAGAGAAATATTTGATTTATAACTTTTTTGTCTCTGAAAAAAAAAATAACAAAATCAGTGACCTTTTTTTTCACTGGGCTCATTTTCCTTGGCACATGGAGTTACCATAGAACTTCTTGGGGCCCCAGCAAAATTGTGAAGTAAATCAGGCAAAGCCAGTCTTTCCCTCCACCAACCTCAATTCTGAACTGTATCTCAACCATTTGCATCCTTTACCCTGGGGCCAAGTGCCCCTTTGGCCTCTTCTTTTTTATCCTATCAACTTACTCTTATGAAATGGTCTATATTCACTTCTAAACCGAAGCATAAGTGGTTGTTGGAAATTTAAAAGATTGTCCCACTTATGGATTCTTACTTCTAGCAAAAGATGAAAGTCTTAAGCTAGAAGAATTGAAACCTTTAACAGTGGATTTTAAGCATAAAATATAAGTAGGAGCTGAAGAATTTCCCATATCACCGTAAGAGATTATCATCATTTCCATGCAAAGGTACAACCATGAGCATTAAATGAAGATGCTGTTTTAAAGTTTTTTCTTATTGAAGTCACTTCATTGTTTCTATCCAGCTTCCTTTTCTTACTTTTCCCCAATCTGGGCAACCTCCACCCCATAAGTTGATACTCCTCTTTGACTTCATTGTATGTATTTGTTGAGATCTTAAGTTGCAAGTGACAGGAATTCCATTCAATTGGGGAAATAAAGGTTCATGTAACAAACCACCAAACATCAAGATTGAATTGATATTATGGTTGAGTATAATTTAACTATTATTAACTCTCTCTCACTCTCTCTCTCTCTCTCTCTCTCACACACACACACACACACACACACACACACACACATCTTTCTTCTATCTAATTTGAATGGAACCAATCTCATCATCTTCCACTCTTCTACATGTTACGAGATAGTATTATGGTTGTCAGTTTTAGGGGAAAGAACATGCTTCAGTTCTGCTTCAAGTCAAGTCAGAAGTCTGGAGAAGGATGCTGATTGGTCAGCTCACGTCATATGCCCACTTACTAGTGTAATCATTGTGTCCAATCCTCTGTGTTCTGGTAACTGTCATCCCTGTGACAGCCACTTAAGAAACACTTAAGTGTTTCTCCCCTTAAAGTGGGGGCATCCCCTGGCCCTCTTTCCTTATCTATGAAATGAGGAAATTGGAGATGTCTCTGAAACTTTCCCAGCTGTAACCTGATTCCATTTTGAAATTGCTTCTTCATTTTTGGTATTCTAATCACTCTCTTGGTCTTTCTTACATGTCCTACCTCCCACATGAAGGTCAAGTAGCACTGGGAGATGATAATTATCTCCTTGACCCAACTCTGAGTTTCTCTAAATGGGAAGGGGGTAGCTCCTGTGCTGCCTCCTCATGAAACAGCCAAGTGTTATATAGTTCAGCCTTGACCAAATTTAACCACCATTTATACCACATGATAGAAGATGGTCACAATTTCAAAATTTGTCAAGCATCCCAAATTTAGCATTAAACTTGTGTGAAAAAAGGAAGCAGATCATGTGGAAGGTCAACTGGAAATTTTCCCTGATGCCATTATGCTGGGGGCAGGAAACGACGCTTATGTAACTGGTCCCAATTCAGAGGCAGCCCAGGCTCAACGGGGTTAATGAGGGCTCCTGTGCAGGTTATTCATCTCATCCCACAGCACTGAATACTCATTCTCCTTGCAAAACCCTTACGATGTCTTCTCTGAAATGCCTTCCCACCTGCCACGAAAGGCCACCAGTCCGTCTTCTCTATCACGTCCACTCTTCTGTTGTCATGATCATTGCTTATGTCCCATGTCTGGCTCTCTTATTAGACCACCAGTTTACAGAAGGCAAGGGCCATACCTTATTCACCCTTGAATTCCTAGTGCTTCACCCAGTATAGACACATTGTAAGCACTCAGTGATGTTTGTTGTATTGACTTCACAGCTAATGCTCCTCAAGCAACTCTTTATTAATTGCTTCTATGAGTACTATCTGGCTTATGGCAAGCTGGCAGCCAGCGCAGTTAGACTGAAGGACCCGGGTCTTCGAAACTCCCATGAATCAGAGGACAAGAGGACAGTTGCCTTTCTGTCTTCACACAGTAACCACCCCTGCACAGAGCAAGCAGGGCACACACATCCTTGATTAAAGTAGATCTATCATGGGGGGTACTCAGTGTCATAGAACTCAGCTAGAGATGTGTGACCTTGGGTCAGTCCTCAATCTTAAATCTCAGCCTCTTTATCTCTAAAAGTGACCCCAAGTGGCATGGGGTCATGATTGACCATGGCATCACGGTGGCATGATTGACCATGGAGCCATGCTCGAATCCCAGCGCATTCACCTACCAACCAGCCATAACATCCTGAACTAGTTACTTGACATTTCAAGGCCTCTGTTTCTTCATATGTAAAAAGAATGATGACCACATCTAACTCCTAGATTTGAGTGGATTAAGAGAGGGAACAGACATAAAGCTTCCACCATAGTATCAGGCCCACCGTACATACCTCTCTCAGTGGTAACAATTATTATTCTCCTCTGCAGTGGAAGATTAAAAAAAAAAAAAAAAAGGCAGGAAGATTACTACCCGTCCCTTGGATGCCTCTGTGTGTTTTCTGGTCTTTTCCTGCTTTATAAATTCTGATGAAGACGAATCCACATTAATAGAGGCAATGTTAATTGCCTCCTTATGGGGTGGACCTGTCCTTAGGCAACACATTACCATATTCTTTTTTTCTTGAAGCTTCCAATGGGATATGTCTGTTCTATTTAAAAGGCCTCCTTTTTAGTGCCTGGCCCAAGAAGGCAACAGCACGTGCACAGTTTCTGATCCCTTGTGTATGTGAACACTCAGGCCTTCACTACACGGGGAGAGCGTTCTCCGAGGCGTGAGTGTGGGTATCATTTCACGTTTGTTTGAGCCAGTAACAACCAGACCTCCACAGTTAATTGTGTCTCAGTGATCTTCTTCGGGAAAAAATGGCGGTGACGCAGACTCCTAGCTGTTGCTTGGACTTCTTTCGCTTTTGAAGTTTGCATTATTTGTAGCGTCAGTTTTGGCAGTAGTCCCATAATATGTTGAGCCAATGGAGCACTCCCCTAGCCAGGCCTGCCCCCCAACTCCAGTTCCAAGTTCATCAGTCCATCTCCTTCCTTGTGGTTCTAGGAGCACAAGAGAGAGTGAAGGTGTACATTGCGGTTGTTTACTCTTTGGAAAAGCACTCTCAAGGCTTGGGCAGAGAGCGCAGGGGAAGGGATTCGGGGGTAAGGAACAGAGAGACAGGGAGCCGTTCACTCTAGATCTTTCCAAATGGGCAAGGGCAACCCCCCAGGAAAGTTATGGTCTTCCTTTCATCTACAGGTAATGCAGGTGGTGAAGGAGCAGGTTATGAGAGCTCTTACAACCAAGCCTAGCTCCCTGGACCAGTTCAAGTGCAAACTGCAGAACCTGAGTTACACTGAGATCCTGAAAATCCGCCAGTCTGAGAGGATGAACCAGGAAGATTTCCAGTCTCGCCCGATTTTGTAAGTAACCCCTGAGCTCTATCTCCTCAGAGGCTCTGACCCACCATCTCTGGTCTGAAGGCCGATCACACACAGTGCAGTGGGCTGTGTTGTGAGCTCATTTACAGAAGGCCAACAAAAGACACTCCGGAAGACCTCAGTTCAGTTCATGAAGTCTCAGCAGCTCCCTGAGGAAGTCGGCATAGAGGCAGCTGAGGGGATGGCGGGGACAGGTCCCAGCAGCAGGACCTAAGCCAGGAAGTGGCCTGGTTTTGGAGGAGTGCCCTGAGAACTTGTAGCTGAAAAGTGGGGGGGACTTTCCTAACACTTGGGATTAATTTTTGCCCAGAAAGGTATTTCTTGGTGCCTGCCTTTGAGTGGCAAGATGTTCTGCCCAGCCAGAGCAAGGCCCGCTGGTCATTCAGACACATTCAAGTAGTGAGTGGAAGGAAGAGAGATGGAGCGGAAGAGAGAGATTCACTTGTCCCTGCCCCATCTATAGGCTTTACGTCACCCCAGAGCACCTTGCATCGCCCCCGTCACTATCAGCCTGCAGGCCCGAGGTTGAGAGCACCAGGTCCCCTTATAGGACTTTGCAGTAGGTGTCACTTGCGACAGTCATCATTTCACCTGTCTCCATCTTTAGGATGTTCTGAACCTCCAACACGAAGACTGTATGGTTTGCTCCGTCTTTTCTTAGAACTATCCTATTTATCTTCCCTTGTCCTTTTCTAAGGGCTAGGTCAGTTCTGGTACCCTTATCATTGATAGGGAAGGAAACAGGCACAGAGGTGAAGGTAAGGAGCGTGTGTGACAGGCATTCTCATTCCTCCCACAGAAGACTGCACATGGCTGTGAACTTCCGTACAAAGCCGACGTACAACACAGCTGTCCTCACGACACGAACTCCCTCTCTGTTTCAGATTCTTTTCTTTCTGCCCCTCCTTCTGTCCTTTACTCTTATATGCTGACATTTCGAATGGTTGGCAATTTGCAAAGCAGCCCCTCCTGCTGTTTCATGCCCTCCCATGCGTGCGAAGAAGGTAGGTCTTATTCCCATTCAAGAAGCAGGAAAAGTCCAGAGATGGGAGGCACCAGGACGTGAACTCCAGCCCACGGATCCCTCAGCTCACGCTTTGTCCAGCCCAGCAGAGCTCCTCTGTGAAGTGCAAGAGTAAGCTGAAGTTTAAAGAAGTTCACAGGTCTGCAGCTCCCTGCTGCGTGCCTGCTCCCGGGCCCTGGCAAGCACCGTCAGTGGCAGCGGAGTGCAAGCACAGACTTGAGTGGGGTGAAGCTGGGCAGCTGGGGGCAGACAGGCTCCCTGGGCATCCTTGGCTCCCACCATGGTGAGACCTCAATCGGACTTGCACTGATGGCCAGCCAGCTCTACAGCAGGCACTGCCAGGCCTTGGTCCTCAGCCGGGAGGTACAGCTAGGAATACCTAAGAGAAAGCCCTTCCAATAGATGCTTGACTCCTCAGAGATGCAGTTTCTTTCCTGCAGAGAGGAACAGCGGTGCCTCGTCCCATCACGGGGTGTATAGCCCCAAGATGCTGGCTTTCCAGAGGCTTGTTTCAGCAGATGGGCAAACACACAGAGGCTTCATTATGCTTTTGACAGCAGTTCTTAAAACCTAAAGGGAGACTTGAGGAACCACTTCAGTCAAGGCTGATGGATCCCAAATTAATGTTTGACCATGACTTTATTCTAAGTAAGAATGTTAACTGCACGTGAAGTGTGAACACTCTGCTTCTGTTTTGGCTTCATATCTTTATTTCCTAAGGCTCTTCCCATGACGTTCCGACGTTCTCCCTTGATTATAAGAAGCTCTTACGTTTGCACTTATGACGGGAAGAGAAGCAGTGCAAATATAAAGGAGATCTTCTCTAGGTCCCTGCGTTGTCACTCGGCCAGGGGCCCAAAAAGCAGCACGGCTCACTGGAGGCCTTGCCGTAGTTGCAATAAAAGCTTGTCAGAAACTATAGCATTTAAAGGGGAGGCCATGAGCCAACCTGATCATTATCCCAGCCTCCGAAATGGGCAGGTGGGAGCCAGCCTCCAGCTGCTTGTCCAGTGATGTTTTGTCTGTTAGAGTGACCTGCTGGAGATGAACTCTTGGTGGGATTGGATGAAGCCTAAAGGCTGCCTACACAGCTCACAGGACAGACCCATGTCAGCAGAGAGAAGGGGATAGCCCACATATGACGGTTTGCATTCGTTCACTCATTATTTAATAAATACGTCTGGAGCGACTCCTGCCTCCCAGGCCCTGTGCTGCGGACAGACAGACAGCCAGGGACACTTGACTGCCCCACCCCCCAACTGTTCTAGGTTGTAAAATTGGGGGAGGAGAGTTAGCCCAGACTGGGCTAGGGTGGAGGAGACACAGGTGGGGGTTGTCATGAGAGCACATGGGACACACTTCTTTCCCAGGCTCGGGAGTTAGTATATTCGAGATTAAGGTCATCCAGTTAAATATCTAGTTCAAGTTAGCAGACTGGGACAATGACTTGGCTGGGGCTTGACTGCTAGTGTGGAGCCCTGCTGCCTATGCCCTCACCTGCCTCTTGACCCCCGTAGCGCTCTCTCCACGGCCCGGCTCCCTCTGTGTCTGCCGCACACAGCTCGGTGGCCAACTTAAGTCCCCCAGAGATCCTTTGAGACACATGGTTCGTTACTATAAACCGTTTATGTTTCCTGAGGAGAAAAATGCACACTCTGTGTGAGCAAATATTTGGGGAGACCATTCAGTGGGTTGAAGAAGCTGTGTTGTATTTCTTAGCTCTTGACTGAGTATTTCCGAGAGGAGATATTTGTTACTTGCCACTTAGCATGACTTTGCAGGGGAGATAAGTCCCGCCACACAATTAATCTGAGTTAATGGATATAAGAAGCTTGAATAGTCCAAAAACAGGTCATTTAACACTACACTGTGGAGGGAAAGGAGAGATGCAAGGGTAAACACCAAGGAAGCATAATAGCAAAAGGTAGAAAATCCACACCCAGGGAGCTACTAATCCATCTGGGATCCGACTCCAAGGCCACTACTTAGAAATGCGGCTCTTTAGACAAGTCACATAACCCATTCGAAGCCTGTTTTTCTAAGGTCTAAGAAAGAAGGTGATTAAAGTGTCCACATCATTGTGCAGTTAGGAAGATTCAGTGATGTAATGCCTGAAAAGCACTTAGCATATATGCTGGCACATAATATCCACTCAGAGAAATGGTCCCTCTTATTATTAGCTGATAACCGGAATGGGACATGTTGTCACACTGTTGATGTGTCAATGGTAAAACTCACCCTATAAATGTATTTTTATATGCCTTGCCTTATCTCAGAAGGTACAGTAGAAGTATAGTGAGAAAGAAAAAGTGAAAACGAGGCCAGAAATCAGGCTAATGCCTACCCTGCTTATCCGCCTCCTCACTAAAGATTGGCCCAAGCTTTGCATAGGGCCTTCTCTTAGCAAGTGCCAGCAGGATGATCTGGTCAGTTACAGTTTTCATTGTTCAGTGCACTTGACCAATACTTATCGAATGCCTTCCACATATACCAGGTACTGTTTTGTGTGTTGGTGATGCAGCAGTGAAGAGGACAGACGCAATTCTCACCCTGCAGTGATTTCATTTTAGTGGGAGACACAGACAATAAACATAGTAAATAAGATTATAGCATGTTAAAAGATATAATGACAATGGAAATATAAAGCAGGATAAGGGAGATAGAGAGCTGGCAGTCCTAAGTAATGCGGTCAGAGTAGATCCCTCTAGTTGGGATGGTAACATTTGAGTTAAGATGTTTAAGGGACTAAGGGAGCAGGCTATTTGTATATTTAAGAGAAGAGTAGTCCAGCAGAGAGAAACACCAGTGCAAAGGCCCTGAGCTAGGAGTAGGTCTGGGTGCTCAATGTGGTGAGAGAAGACTAAGCAAGGAGGAGAGCAATAGGAAGTTAGTCCAGAAAAGTGGCTTGGAGTCGATAATGGAGGGCCTTGATGCGGAGCCAATGGAGGGTTTTGAGCAGAGTATTGATGTGCTCTGACTTAGGTTTCTAAATGATCTCTCTTGCTACTGTACTGGGAATATTCTCCAGGGAGGCAAGTTTGGAAGCAGGGAGATCAGTAAGGAAGTTATTTCAATAACTCAGTCGAGATGATTTGAAGTGATTGAAGTCCCTACTATAGATGGATTTTGAAAATAAGAAACAATGGTATTTCCTGATTGATTAGATAAGAGAAAGAGAGGAGTCAAGGAGGAGTTCACGATATTGTTGGAGCTGAACAACCAAAGGTGAGAAGGAGGAGAGCAGGTTGGGACAGGGGGTCAGGAGTTCAGCTTTGGACCTGTCAAGTTTGAGGTGTCTGTGAGACACCCACATCTGGCATGTCTCACAGTTGGTTTGATGAATTTGGAGTTCAACTGAAAGGTCCAGGTTAGAAATATAAATTTGGGGAAGCTGTCAGCATAAAGTTGGTATTCAATGTCATGAGTCTATAATATACAGAACAGAAGAAATACAAGGACTGAATTTGGAGGCTCTCCAGTGTCAAGACTGATCAATTTCCATGAAACGACACTGCCTCTCAGCCCCCCAAGTCTTCACAGAACCTCTAGATCAGAGGCGGCAAAGTATAGGTAGCTCTTGGGGCAAATCAAGCTCACTGCCTGTTTCTGTAATTGGACTTTTATTGGAACACAGCCACACTCGTGTGTTTACGTATGTTGACTACTTTCACTCTACTACAGCAGATCTCAGTACTTGCCAAAGACAGCTATGGCCCCCAGAACCCGAAATAGTTACTGTCTGGCCTTTACAGGAAATGTGTGCCGAAGTCTGTTCTTGGCAGACACCGAGTAACCACTCAGGGGGGCAGACCATGGGTCCAGGGAGGCAGCTCACCAGTATAGCGGTGCCTTCTGTCTTCTGTGTGTGGCACTGGCCTCGCTGGCCTTGGACCTGGGATTGACTCCCAGAAACAATGCTGGACCTGGAATTGCTCTTTACACACTCATTTACCCTACCTTCATTAATCTTCCTTCTTTTATATATTTACAAGGCCTTTAGACGGAATTAGAAGAGTATCTGTCAAAACAAAGGCATTGAACCTATGACCTTGACCTCATTGACCCAAGCTGAGAATCTCTTTTCCCAGCTGCAAGCCCATGGTGCATGATGCTGAGGTCCAACCTCAACCACAGACATACCATGTAGGTGTTACATATGTTTTCCTACAATGAGTGAATTTTCTAGCAAGTGGGTCCATTTGCATGGAAAGAAGAGGAAATCACTTAGAAGAAAGAAAGGTTGTCCTCTTTTTCTCATTGCCCGATCATGTTTTGGAGGCCTTCGGGGTTCACAACAAGAAACTCCTACAGCAGCAGATTCACTCACTCTGGTAGTGTGTCCCCAGGAGATGTTTCCATAAGGGAGTGTGCCATGATGGGCACATCTGGGTCTTACACTAAGATGTCATAAATCATTGACTAAAATGACTCGGAAATACTTTCAATTATTTCCTCCTTTTGGTCCTCTTCCCTGCATCTTTATCTCCATTTTCATAATTCACCTCTAGCCTACTAAAACGATTATTTATAGATACATCACAACCTAAGACTCAGTGAAATTCCCAAACCCTTTCTCCAGTGATTTCTCTATTCCTTAGTGCCATCTAATTCTCTTTGCCCCATGGCCCCGGCTTGGAAGTCAGAAGCAGTGATTTATTGTCACGTTTGCCTGCCCTGGCATCTCCCCCACCTTCTTCTCCTATTCAGAGCAGGGTTCATCAAAGCTGTACTATATTAAGTCCATTGTGCCAAAGCTGAACACTGATAATAAATAGTTTTAGTGATCTGGAAGCCCGAGATGAGACCCTGGAGGTCTGCACGGAAGAGCTGTACAAATGTACCAATCTGCATTATTAGGGCTCAGTCTCCATATTGTGCTTTTTGAGTGTTCAGTTGCAACAGTAGCAAATGACAGGAGGTTTGAAACCTTTCAAGTTTAAAATATGTCTTAGCAGAGTACTAGCACACCCCGTTAGATAACCGGATCCTTTGATGCGACTTTTTAATTCTCTTTATCTCACATGTAAATAGAAGCAATTTATATGCAGAAGATCAGGTTCTACGCATAACCCCTATGAGCTGCTTCCCCACCTGTAAAATAGAAATAGCAATACCCGTTTATTAATGACACAAATATGTCTTCCCAAAACTTGGGGGTTTTGACGGCAAGCAGGAAGGGGATGTTAACTGAGCTCAAATCAAATAGTACCTCTACCCGACAAAGCAAGCACTTCCCCAGCGTGAGTGACTTCCCCACCCAGGAGCCGACCACCCTGTGAAGACAGGCTGTCTGCAGTGCAGAGCAGGTCCAGAGTTGACGTGGAAGCTGACAGACATGCAAGACTTGACTACAGTGAAGTGTGGGTATATGGAGAGTTGGCCTGAGGGAGAGAGAGAATACTAGCCAAGCAAATTCAGTAATAACCTTGCATTCCTGCCCAGGGCTTACAGAGCTCTTGCACTCACACCGTCTCCTCTGGGAGTCACAGCAGTTACCCAGAAAATATTCTTATTCCCATGTACAGATGGGGAAACTTGGACTTAGATGAGCTACATGAAATGCATGTCATGGGCAGAGTCTAGATTGAAACCCTAGACTTCCAAGTTCTAGATCTATGCTTTCATCAATAACACTACTGAGGGTTCTCCCTGTCCAGCATCACCTAGAACAACTCTAGCTTTCCTAGACCCAAAGGCTAGGGCACTACATAAAATTTCACATGATAGCAACAACTGTGCTCTTGGCCTGCGTTTCTCAGTGGGTTAAGCATCTGACTCTTGATTGCACCTCAGGTCATGATCTCAGGGTCATGAGATGGAGATCCGCTTTGGGCTTGTGCTCAGCCAGGAGCTGGCTTGTCCCTCACCCAGCTCCTCTCCCTGCTTGCTCGCTCTCTCTCAATCAAATAAATAAATAAATAAATAAATAAATAAAATCTTCTTAGAAAAAAAGAGATTCAAAAAACATTGTGCTCTATCCTGATATCTTTAAGGCATAATGCATCTAACACAAAATTATATTGTATTAGCCTGACTCAGGATGCAAATAATCCCTAATCTATTCCATCATCATCCCAGTCTCAGTGGGCTAAAATCAGGGATGGTGTGTTGTTCCCATTTGTAAGTGATACAGTGGAAACCAAAATGTGGTCCTGTGGTTTGCTGTGGAATTAGTAATTATGCGGCTGTCCAGTAGTGCTCTTTGGTCAGATCACAACTGGATTCTGGGAGTTTACCTGCTGTAGGGGGGAAGTGTGACCAAAGATTTATTGTCTTAGCAAAGCCAAGTGCATTTCTGCATGGGTTCATATCTGTGGCTTTGTGAAACAAGGGAAGAAATTTCTCGGGAGACTTCGGTGTGGAAAAACGTCACTGAAGCAGCTGGTGCTTTGGTGGATGTTCTGTAAATGTCAGAGAATCTATAGTGTTGTTTTAACAGATAACCCCATCCACTAACGCTTGATAAATAATTCTCTAAAACACCACTTTGGGAGGTATTGGGATGGTTGGGGAAAGATGCAGCTTGCACTTCTCTGCCCCAACTGCCCACGAGGCTCTTTTAGCCAGGTGCTGTTCTCAAGGCATGCTGTGTAATGCGTGTTTGTCCTTCCCAGGGAGCTAAAGGAGAAGATTCAACCAGAGATCTTGGAGCTGATCAAACAGCAACGCCTGAACCGCCTCGTGGAAGGGACCTGCTTCAGGAAACTCAACTGCCGGCGGAGGCAAGGTAGTGTGTCTGGGACCACTCTTCCCCCGGCTAGGGGAACCAGTGGTGCACTCCCTGGGGAATCACAGGCCATGGGTGCTGGTTTAAGGATAGGCCTTTCAGCACTGGACTCAGAATGGGAATAAGTAAGTTCTGACTCCCAGTAAGTTCTGACTGCCTATGAGTACCCAGGGGAAAATCAAAGAATTACCAGAAGACCTATGGAACTGAAAAGCCACCTGAGCTGTTCAGTGCCACAAATCTGCTGGTAGGTGTTCAACAACAGTCAACATGTATCAAGAGCTTACCGTGTACTAGACTCTCATTTTATTTATTTTAATGCATTTCCTCCTCCTGGTAACCCTGTGATTATACCCACTTCACAGATAAGGAAACTGACACCCTGAGGAGTTTAGTAAGTTGCCCAAGTAAGTTGTGGAAGAGCAAGGATTCATACTCCGGCTACTCTATGGCCCTGACTTTCATTTTATTTTTACTTTATTTAAAATTTTTTTCTACGGTCCTTACTTCTACAGTTGGATTTGATCTTGGAACGTCCAGCATGGATGGTCCTAATGCTCAAATCCCCATACTGATTCGCTTCTAGGTGAAAATTACTTTTTCTGGAGATATAAATAACATTGGATCCAGGTGGGATAGAATCGATTTTCATAATCTTGCAAGAAGAACTTCTGAATTGTCTCAGGGAATTTTAGTCCCGCAATATCATGTCAAAATGGGAGCCGATGGACTAGTTCCAGTAGGCAGGAGACACACCCAGCTGTTTCTCAGTCAGGGAAGTAAAGTCCTTTGATTGCTTTCTTCTGTTGACAGGCTGATTGCAAAGTCTCAGGATTCATACTGTCCTCTAAACAAACAGAAAATAAAACCAAAAAATAGGGTCTGAGGAGAGGTGACGAGATTGAGGGATAACCAGGATCAAGCGGAAGCGATAGCAAGTCTACCAAGAAAAACATATGGCCCAGGAGAAACTCCAGCAGATATTTTTGAAAACCAGTGGACGCTGTCCTCAGACGCAGAGCTCAACCACTAATGACAAACATAATTTCGTATTTATGCCGAGCCCATCCCCCTGGCCATTTACTTTAATAGCTTTGTGCTGAATGTTGAGTAAATTCAAATGATTTCAAGTATTACGGTTAAAAATCATATTAAGGAACTTCCAAAGGCAGAACTTCCTTGAGAAATGAAAAGTGTAGGTTGTTCCCAGAGGATGGCAATCTATGGCACTGAACTTCAAAAGGGGCCTCAGGGGAGAGGACAATGGGCAGAATAATAATAATAAGAGCTGAGTTCCAGCTGGGACTGAGAAAGGCTTGTGCTGGGAGAGCAGTGGAAGGAGGAGTTTCTTCCCTTCTCACCTCATTCCTTGCATGGGACATCGTGATCAGGGCGAATGCTTTTCCAGAAGATAGTATGGCATGGTGGTAAGGACAAGAGCCCTGGGGCCACATGAAATAGGTGCACTCCTGCCTCTCCCCCTGACCAGTTGTGTGACTGTGGGCAGTCTCCCCAGCAGAAATGGGATAATAATACCTGTGACCTAAAGTCAGTGTAAGGAGGGAAACTGATCACGAACGTAGCTCTCAGAAAGCTCCAACAAAGTGTAGCGGCTACTCTTCTAAGAGACTGTGTAGGAAAAGAGCAATGAGCTAGGAGTGAATGGACTTGGCTCTAGGCTTCACAACTCTAAGTGACCAACTGAATGCCTTTAGGCAGACACATGACCTCTCAGGGTTACAATTTCCCATCTAATAAGTGAGAGAATTGGACTAGATGATCTCTTAGCTCAGTTAGCCAGATAGTCGATTCTGTGCTTGATCTCTTCATTGCCTTTGGAAAAATCAATAGTCAGGACATACTGCTCCTGTAAGATGATTTATCAAGATTTTATTTACTTGGCATTGGGCAAAGGACATGGAAGTGGGAAGAGGAGGGGGGAGATAGCACATGGATACCTACCATCCAACATCTCCACTGATGTCCAGCTAGAATCCTCCAGAACGTAATTCGAAGAACTCAACTTAACATTCCAGTCTATTTTACCACAAGTCTTCCCTTTCTAGTCTGACATGGATAAGATTCTACTAGAATAATTCTGTTTCCAGATATAATAATGACAGTCTTTTGGCTAAAGAAGTATTAGCCCATAATTTGCAAATTTTTCCCATTTTTTAAAAAGGAATTACCTAATGAACAAAAAACTATTAGCACCTAGATTATAAATTTATTAGTTAAGCTCCCTAGGGAGCCTGGCCATCTGTGTTTAATACAAAATCATCCTTTGAGTGCAGAAAGGAAAGCCTTTTGGTGTTGTGCAAGTGGATTTAAAATCTGGTGACTAGATCTGTGTGCATAAAAGTAGGGATTCAAAGCCAACTGTGATGAAATTGGTTTCCTATCACCCCATCGAAACATTCCACTTAGATTTACACAGATTAAGGAGGACATGATGTAAAATCATTTTTTAGAAAAGATTTTATTTATTTATTTGAGAGAGACAGTGAATGAGAGCATGAGCAGGGGAAAGGGCAGAGGGAGAAGCAGGCTCCCCCGCTGAGCAGGGAGCCCAACACAGGGCTCCATCCCAGGACCCTGAGATCATGACCTGAGCCGAAGGCAGACACTGAACTGACTGAGCTGCACAGATGCCCTCATAAAATCATTTTAATCCCTTCAAAAGAGGTGCACTTCTTGCTGGGTATTTACCCTAAAGATACAAACGTAGTGATCCGAAGGGGCACGTGCACCCGAATGTTTATAGCAGCAATGTCTACAATAGCCAAACTATGGAAAGAACCTAGATGTCCATCAACAGACGAATGGATCAAGAAGATGTGGTATATATACACAATGGAATACTATGCAGCCATCAAAAGAAATGAAATCTTGCCATTTGCGACAACATGGATGGAACTAGAGGGTATCATGCTTAGCAAAATAAGTCAATCGGAGAAAGACGACTATCATATGATCTCCTTGATATGAGGGAGAGGAGATGCAACATGGGGGGTTAAGGGGGTAGGAGAAGAGTAAATGAACAAGATGGGATTGGGAGGGAGACAAACCATAAGTGACTCTTAATCTCACAAAACAAACTGAGGGTTGCTGGGGGGAGGGGGGTTGGGAGAGGGGGGGTGGGGTTATGGACATTGGGGAGGGTATGTGCTATGGTGAGTGCTGTGAAGTGTGTAAACCTGGCGATTCACAGACCTGTACCCCTGGGGATAAAAATATATGTTTCTAAAAAATAAAAAAAAAATTTAAAAAAAGAGGTGCATTTCCACAGGAGCTCTCAGAAGGGAACAGCCACGCGCCCTCCCAGGGTAGAGAGCAAGTACACTGTGAAGGAGTGGCTGCCACCCTCCGTTTAAACTTGCTCAACAGTGAGTCACATACAGAAGAGCCGATTTAAGTATTAGCTGTATGGGGGATGAGCGGAAAGAGATTTCCATGCCCCAGAACCAGAAAGCGGGGAGCAGACAGTCTTTTGCCATACCACCTTTAGCTAGAAGACCTGAGTTCATACCGACCCGTCATTCTGCCCACCTCCCGCGCAGCTCTGCTACTTGGTTAGACTGATGTGGACATTCGCAAATCTGGGTCTCTAAGAATTCTGGCCACATTAAAACTTGGAGGCAGTAAGTCACGTGAGACACCTCCAATGACATTCAAGCTCCCTCTTCCCCGCTCGCTAGCTCTCTGGCCATTGGCCGCCTACTAGATCTCTCTATGTTCCTATTTCCTCATCTGTCAAATGATGTCCATTGTATGTAAGGGTTAAACAAAATCCTGCATTTATGGCACTCAGTACAGTGCTTTTGCACATTGTCGAACATAACTTAGTAATATTTAGCATGAATTTTAGCTTGTAGATCCTCAGAGTATAGGTTTTTAAATGCAGGTGGGAGAGTGGCAAAGGAGGTTACATACCAACCTCACTCCATTCTGTTCCAAGCACAGAGTACCTGAGGCTTCTGCCCAGACTCCCTCACAGTGGCATAGAGTGCTTCGCTTCTGGGTCCCCTGGGCTTCTGCAGGACTGAATTCAGATGAAATTCCAGAAGTGGACTATGGTAGGGCCATTATTTCCATCGTGAGAATCTGCGAGATCAGAAACTGCTCCCTATTTTCCTTATATCTCAGAGATTACAGACTTTCAGAATGCTTCGTGTTGAACAGTCTTGATAAGAGCCCAGGGTAACACACTGGAGAGTCGTTACTAGAAATGATAGCATGAAACTTTTGCTTCTCATTGAAAACATTGTCCATTTTCTTGGCTAGCGTCCCTTCTCTAAGCACTAACACGACAAACTTAATTTGGAACTTGGATGTGAGCAAAGCCTATGCCCCGAGCACCTGGCTTACTTCCTTCCTGCTGCCAGGGGTGATCTACCTTACCTTGGTCTCTCCGTGCACTCAGAAAACCTAGAGCCGAGGGTATATTCAGGCAAAGTAACCAGATGGACCCTTGTTAAGAACAGGCTGTTTCTTCCTCTATCCTTGATTGAAATTTTCATTTAATATTTAATTAAACCTTATCATAGCTCATTTTGGAGGGCACGTGTTGCATGGAGCCCTGGATGTGGTGCATAAACAATGAATTCTGGAACACTGAGAAGAAATTTTTTAAAATAAATAAATTAATAAAAAAATTAAATATATTTAATTTTTTAAATCCACACATATTTTCAGAGGAAGAAAATCCAGTTGATTTTCAGGGACAGCACACTTTCCAGTACCTCAAAATAAGATATTCTATATACATTTTACTCAGATAATAATTAATGTTACTTAACAAAAGAAGAATAGGGATCCCTAAGGTTCTTACAGCTTGGCCGAGGACGCTTAGTTCATGTGTGAGGGCCTGGTGGGGAGCCCAGGTCTGTATGATTCCAAAGCAACAGTTAGGCTAAACTATCTTTAAAAGGATTTGGGACTCTAGACTCATCTTCTGTTGTGAAAGGAAGCAGCAGATTGCAGGGAGCCAGAATTCGGAATCAGAATACCATCTCTCGTTCTAAAGATTATCCAGTGAAATGAGGAAAATTTGGAAGGCAGAATGGCCTCTGTCTCTGTCTATACTCCTTGTCTTTCTTTACTGGACCAACAGAGCAATCTGGTATCTCATCATCTCAGAGAAGACATTTCCCCTTAAAAACATTGCTGGGTCTCTCATGTTTTATGACTTGGAAAGCTTCAAGCCTAGGCAGGAAAAAGACCCTAGATACGCTAAAGATATTGCACATTTTAGGTTAACCTAGGAAAGCTCCAAAATCCGAATGCAAGTGCCCTAAGATTTTACTTTAGTAAAGGTCCCCTGCTTCCCAAACACAAGACTCTAAGGGCCCCCTGGTCCAACAGCTACCTGCCAACGGGGGTGGGGGATTGCACCCAAGACAAAGATGTCCCCCTTATTCCCCCGCAGAGCCGATGAACACTCCATTCTTGCTGTGCCCTGTGCCTCACTGACTCACCCAACATTTCCCACTAAACAATGGTAGCTGGTATCCAGCTTGCTCGGCCCCCTGGAGTCCTGCTGGCCAGCCCCAAATGTGTCTCCAGACTTGACGCTGAGGACTAACAGGTCAGTCGTACTGTTGGAGATAGCTACCTATGGTTTATTTATTTGAAATTAAATAAAACTTAAAACTTCATTTCTTACTATTGGATAAGTATCTGTGGAGTATTTCTGTCATTGCAGAAAGTTCTATCAAACAGAGCTGTAAGAATTACAATTGTCAGCGGTTATTAGCTCCATAATGATCTATGTGACATTGGGAATAGCTTTAATCAGCCCTGGAGACCTTCTTACCAGGCTTGTGAGCTCTGAAACCAGCTTTTCTCTCTGATCCTGCAGACACACACACACACACACACACACACACACACGTGCACACGCTTGCCTGCACACCCACCCACATGCACTCACACAGAGGCAGACCGAGACAGTGAAGCACAAAACTGTCTCCATCTTGTCAGTTTTTGAATTTGGGGAATGAAGAAATGGCTATTAACGTGCTAACACTCGTAATTGACTGAAAGACCCTTATATTAACTCCTGTTTATTCTTTAAGTGCTAGTAAACAATCTTTGAAAATGTTCTCCCTGCTTCCTGCTAATTGCTTTTAGTGACACAATCCACTCATTCATTGCCCAGAGGGATTGAGGAACTAGTAACATCATGCTGGGTTTCGAAAAGAAATACACATTTTTCTTACCCTGAAAGAAACTGCAAATCAAACTACTGATGCTGCTGGCTGCCATGGAAATTGCCTCATGCAATGAGCCGGCGCCGTTTGTTGCTGGGACCTAGCTGTCCTCTACCACAGCTCCCCCTTTGAGACAGACGTGCACAAGCTATGATGCTGCTAAACCCTCCCAGAGCTAATGACTCCAGCCTTTATCCCGAAGAAGATACTGTCATGGTATCCACCCATCTGCTTAGGAGTCAAAACAGCCTCCCTGAGACCTCCCAGCCCTGTCTCCCGTCCATCCACGACTTCCTGTTTGATGGGGAGGAAGGAACGGAGCCATCACTTCCATTAATGACGTCTGGATCTTTTTGCTCTCTCCCACTGTAGCAGTAGCCTGCGAAGGAGAAGCTCCTAGAGGACAGGAGAGGAGTTAGACAGAGGGAGGAGGAAATTCTGTCAGCCGGGTGCTAGAAATCGTCATGGTCCTGGCAGGGTTCTGGGAGGCCTTTTGTGTCTCTTTTCAGTGAACATCTACCGCAATGTTGTGAAGATGACGGGTGCTTTGCCTCCGGGAACCCTGATAGATAGCCACTGTCCTCTCGTAGTCTCTGACTGGAAGAATGCACACCCTCCCTGTTCCTACTTTTCCCTGCAGTATAGTCAGAATTGTTGAGTCCCTGGGCCTATTTCCCAAGTCTGGGAAACAAGGGTTTCCACCATGTTTCTCTCAGTTGCCACCAAAAACCAAGGGAGTTCCTCATCCTTGAACTTCTTGACTCTGTCTCTCATGTCTGCTTGTCACCCTGATGACTTTTTGCTGTACCCAGTAGAGTGCTGTGTGCCATGTAGGCACTCTGCAGATAATCACTGCATAAGGAAATGTCCCTTGAGAGCATACGCAGCAGAAATTTTTGAAGACTTACAAAAGAATATAAATTGTGCGTTTTACTTCACAGCGTACCTGTTTGTACCGCTTAAATTTTGTGATGCTCCCCAGTGTCCTGAGAATGGATGATCTTTGATGGCGTCATATTGGCCCTTGGGCTTTAGGTTACTACCATTAGCCGTAGAGCTTTTCCCACCTTACGTAGTTAGGGATCCCTGTAAAGAACAGCTTGGGCCCTTACTCAGAATAAGACCAGCGTGTCCCAGTACAAGGAAGGACTTCCTTGCTGGTTTTCTGCGACGCTTCGCTTAGCTAATAATCCCAGTGCCGAGGTATCAGGGGAAGGAAGCTACATAGTAAAGCTCTCCAGGGGGCTTTGTGCAGTCTCTGCAGTCCATCTAGATGAGGTGGAAAGCTCCCTTTAGGGAGGAGGAACTGGCACGGCCTGTCATGCAGGCCCCCCAAGAGCACTGTGGGTGCTCATGGCCAAAGTACTGCCTGCTCCTTTGGACTTCACAGTTCCTATTGGGAATCACGAGTCTGATTCCCAAATGTGTTCACCTTCTGGAGAACTGGTGATCACATGTTTGCCTAATTGAAATGACTGTCGAGTATTCAGGGAGTAACTTTATTTTCTCCCTTTGAAATAGTCTCCCAGGAAAGTGACATGTGTTGTATGTATAGATATAACATAATTTTTTAAATTGAGCAATGCCAGATGTTTCCCTAGCCACCAAATAACTTTTCCTTTCCTCTCCAGTTTTTCCAACAGACTTCAGATTCTTTTTAAATTATATGGATTGCCATATTCTGACTACATTCAAGAATTCCCAAGCCCTATTTATAGATGAGGAAGATGGGAATTACAGAGGCATTTTGCTTTTGTGGATCAAGTTTTGGCATTTTCTTTGTTCATTGTGTGGCTTTTACTTCCATTTTTAACACTTTCTTTTCTATTTAAAGAGTCCTAGTTAAGACATAAGTTTTGCAGTAAAGGCAATTTTAGATAGAAAACCACTTTACTTACAGTGTTAATGGAGCACCTTCTAATCAGAGTAGTTTCAAAACAATACATTTATAGACACGGTAATGAGGTGACTTGACCAAGGCCACCATGTTCCCCAACTACATAACTGCACAGACGGCCTTACAGGTCATACATAGATGCTTTCAAGGTCATACATTCTCTGGGTCTTAAGCATTCTGGCCAAGTCCCTTTGGGTCCTCATTTATCAATTTAGCCAACACCAATTGTGTTACTCCTATGTGCCAGGCACTGTGCCAAGGGATTGGGACAGTGCCATTATGAAGACAGGGGCTGTCATTAGAGAGCCCTGACTTCTCTACACTGTCTGAGCTCATGAGTATCCTGAGTCCTCTTCCATCAGTAATTGTTCAGAGTACACCTGCTAGGGCAAATTGCTTACCTGGAGTTTGTGACAAATAATGAGAAATACCAAGACGCTTCACATGGGGGCACCTATAATCAAGGAAGATGCTAGGGCAGCTAATAGGATGGGGACAGCCCTGATAGCAGTAGTAACCAGAGAGGGCTTCCTGGAGGAGGAGATATCTAAGCACGGCCTTGCTTGAGTACTTCACGAAGATTGCTGTTACAATTTAAGCTCCTTATCTATAAAAAGTGCTTTTTGCCTCCTTCTTCCTTCCTCACAGCTTATTCAGATATTTCTTATTACATTGGAATGCAGAGCAAGTTAAGTTGAGGGAGTTATTTATAAGAATGACTCATGATGTACTGTATGGTGACTAACATAACATAATTAAAAAAATTAAAAGAAAAGAATGACTCTTAAGGCCCTAGTCATGCCTATTTCTTTGTTTTTGTCATAATTTTTAAATTTTTAAATTTTTTTTTAGTTTCAGATGTACACCATAGTGATTCAATACTTAAATATATTACAAAAAGGTCACCACAATAAATGTATCTAACATCCATCACTGAACAAAATTGTTACCAGGTTACTGATTATATTCCCTATGCTATGCATTACATTCCCATGTCTTATTCATTTTATAACTGGAAGATTGTACCTCTTAATCCCCTTCTAGTCATGCCTATTTAGAGAACTAAACTCTAGGAATCAGAGAGGAGACGGTCATGAATATCCTTGTCCTTTGGATTAATCCCTGAGTTATTTGGATGATTTCCTCATGAAGTCCACCCCTTGTGTCTGGCACTAGAATCCTAACAATTCGTTCCTGGATTAATTTGTGTGTATTAGCCCCAGGGGTGGCGGTCTGGTACACCAACTAAGATATGGCACACAACCATGTCAACTGTCTCAACCTCAGAGAAGAATGTGGAAGCAGGAGAGAACCAAGAAAGCTGATTTTTCTTGTTCTCCCTCCCTACTTTTGCTAGGCCTATGTGGACAAGGAATAATTCCCATAGTCATTACAGATACTGATGAAATAACCCTCTGGAAACCACCCCTGCAGAAAACCTGGTGCCATTATTCCTGAAGGGTTTAATAACCTCCCCAGTGATTAGCAGGACAGTGCTAACTAAAGATCAAAATCAAAAGGGGACTTACTGCCCAGGGCTCTAGAATTCATTCCTTCCTGAAGACCTAAAATCAAATGCATTGCTTGTTCTTCCAGGCAGGACTCCTAGGAAATAAAGATGTTGATATTTTTGGAAATGAGAATCACTTACCTTACAAATTGTGTGTGTGTGTGTGTGTTTCCCCCTCAGACAAATTTTGGTACTGTCGACTTTCACCCAACCACAAGGTCCTACACTATGGAGACTTGGAAGAGAGTCCTCAGGGAGAAGTGCCCCACGATTCCTTGCAGGACAAACGTAAGTGGCTCTCTTATATAGGAAGATTTGGATAGTTGGTTTTGCTTCCTGAAACACTTAGAAATATCTATGCTCCATTACATTCTATTGTCAGCTAACTATTCCCTGAAATACTTATTATTATTTGTATTTATTTGCTGTTTCTGTGTGATGTTTTAACCTGTATCTTTTGAAGAACCAGTAATTTGATTATTTTAGCCCGACATCAAGCCAGGTTCCAGGTTTTTAGACAGGAATAAGTGTACAAATTAAACCAGGTATTGTAGAAACATTAAAATACACCAGGGTGGTGAATTAATTTGGAAGAGAAATGAGATAAAATGAACATAACCTCAGAGGATATCCCAGGTAGAGAAACCAAAGAGTGAGAAAACAAAACCACTTTCAGAGAGCCTTCAAAAGTCACACTGACCCTGCATGAGTCATATAAGTGTGTCCCAGATGGAATCCTTACCCCCTGAGCCTCAGTGCCTTCCTGTTCATCACCTCAGGGCCCACAGAAGTCAGCTCTGGATTGACTTCCTTGCAGCCCACAGCCACCAAAGGCAGCAAGTCACCACAAGTGAGAAATTCCTGATACATTCAGACTCTGCACTGACATATTAGGTAGACAGCCTGGAACATTCTCTCTTCCTCCAGCTTCAAAATGGAACAATCTGGTTTTCGTAGAGTCATTTAGTTCAGAAAGCACTCTTGTTTGCTGTCACTGGAGCACTGCTTCCCCAGACCATATTATTGGCTCCGTTAGTGGGAGGAGCAGGAAATCTGAAAGGCACAGGTGCAGAGTCTGGGGCAGTGTCTGTATATCCCTACTGTGGCAGCGTTCCCAGCATCTGCCCATAATGAGGACCCTCCCTTCAGGTCTCAGAAAGCCTTCCCCATTCCACCGTGGACAAGCTGGACCAGTGGTTCTGAGGGTGGTCCTTGGACCATGAGCTGCATCTTACTAGATGCTGAAACTTACTAGAAATGCAGATTCTCCAGCCTCATTTCTAGTCCTTCTGAATCAGAAACTGGGAAAGGAGCCAGCATCTGTCTTCACAGACTCTCCAGGCAATTCTGATACTTACTCAAAATGAGTACCCCTGAGCTAGACACTGACTGCTACTCTTCTTTTCATGATGATTTCCGAAAATTGGCTTCACCAGTGAGTAAATATTTTAGAAGAACCAAAAAAAGTGATTTGATGGTAGCTTGACAACTTTTAATTTTGGCCAAAAAAAAAAAAAAGTCTATTAAAAAATGAGATCTAACTAAAATTTAATATCCCATTCCTTTTATTAAAAAAGGGGGGCTCTTGATCATGAAAAACAACAAGAAAGACCTGAAGGACCTAATCTTGGAATATAGGACAGTCCCATCTACTAAATTAAATTAGCTTTATTAAAAACTCACAGCTGTGTCTTCATTTTCCTCTGTTTGCTATTAACTGGTGAAAACTCACTGGTGAAACCTCCCTCGTGAACTTGGAATTGTCCAGAGGCCAGCAGTTTGGAATCGCTGCTCTACAGTGGTAAAAGGAAGAGTTAAACGCTGCTGTTGCTCAAGGCAACCAGAAGTACTATACAAAGTCTTCCATAGTCTCCTTCTTAACCTGACCAGGAAATAGGGAAAGTGGTGTGGGAAGAACACACACAGAGCTTGATTAATTTTTTTTCCCCACGTGGGACAGCGAATTTGCTCTCCCACTCACTGGACATATTATTTATCCCCATATTTTTAGGGATATAATCCTCTTCTCAGTCGCAGATAGACATTTGATTGGCATCATTTGCAGGTTTTATATGCAGCAATCCCCTTCTAGCTAGTTCTGTTGCTTAGGAGATTGGTAGCCCTGCTCCTGGAGAAGGTCAAGGCTCAGACAGCTCCTGAGCCTTGTAGAGGCAGCTCCTGGGCTTGCCGGCAGGATGAAAGTAACTAGCTATAAACCCGGAGTGCCGAAGCCAGGAAGAACCAGCTCACCAGGGTGGTCATGGAAGTGGAAGGTCGGAGCTGCAAATCTCTGAACAGCTTTTGGTGGTGACCACGGAGTGATGCTGGTTCTGGGAAAGGGTTACAGTGGTCCCTTCTGACGGCTTCAAAAACTCTAGCCTGCCCCTTCCTCTGCAGCCTTTGAAACTCAGTACTTCAGGGTTCAAAAGAACTGCTCCGTGAACAGCTTACCCATTGCAGGATAAACCAGGACTGCGTACCTGTACAGGTATATGCACGTGGAAGGGTGTGTGTGTGTGTGCATTGGTGAGATTGTATCTTTATGCACGTGGGAGCCAGGGAGGGCATGTATTCATGTAAAGAAGTAAAATGGACCTGATATGTGCCTGGGATGAGCAGGCCCCTGCTTAGGAAACTCAAGTTGGCTGCCTCAGACCTGCCCTTGGTTTGCATTTAATTCCAATTCTGCATTCTGCCCATCTTCTTAGAGCCCTTAGAAGTCATAAACCTCGTTCCACTAGAAAAATGAAATGTTCCTTTAATTAATATCAAGTGCCATTACTCTTGCCATGTACAGCTGCCCTCTCCTGAGACCACGGGGGAAATTGTCTTCCACCCCTTGAGTTAATCAGTGCTGAATATTGAGATATTGATGAATCAAAGAGTGTAATTGAATCTTCTTAATGCAGAGAGGATGAGTGGAGATTGAGGGCCTCTCCTTAGCTGTCGTCACCCCTAAGGGTTTAGGAAATCTCTTCTCGTATTATTCCTGTTTGGCAGGAGATACCACCCCACATCCCAGTCTCCACGTTTGTGGGCTCTTATCACCCACACTAGACACTAGACTCCGCAACTTTCCAGCCATGCCCCAGGCCCCTCAGCGCTGCCCTTTGAATGAATCTAGGCCCCCAGAGCTCCTCTCTCCCACATCAAAGGGGACAGGGAGGAGAAGGCTCACCCCTCATAAGGCGATTAAGTCTATTACAGAGGATGGGAGGAACAGCTGAGACAGCAAAGCAAAGTGGGCAGTTTGGGTCATGGAAGCACGCTGAGTAATTCAGGTCCCTCAATCCAAAGAGACAATTAACTTTGATTATTGATAACGAGAATAATTGTGATCAACATTTATTGAGTGCTTACTGTATGCCAGGTGCTGTTCTAAGAGCTCTACATAAATTACCCTTTCACCAACTTAGAGAGGTAGACATCATTGCCCTTCTTTTACAGATAAGGAAACTGAGGTACAGAAAATTTTAAACAACCTGTTCAGGGTCCCATGGCTAGTAAACAGTAGAGCAGAGATCTCTGTGACCATCCAGCTCTGTAGCCGTGGCTTTTACCCACAGCCCTACACAGCCTAAATGAAAAGCCAACCATGATCCTGCTCTGGCCTTAGGACGTCGTTCTCGGAGCAACTCTGATGCAGCTGATGCTTGAGTTCCCCATTGCAGACGAGGAAGGTTAGGCTCCCAGTACTTCAGCCCAATGTGGAACAGATCCAGTGGTCGATCTAGAATTCAAAGCCAGCTCAGGACACCGGCAGCACAGCCCCTCCCACTGCTCTGTGCTGCCAAGTTAGAGATCGGATTCTTCACTGATTGTGGAGGGATAGGCTCCGCCGGACCCCCCTCTGTGTGGCCACTCACAGGAGCCTCTATGGAGCTGTGTATACAGCAGGTGCTCATGGCTCACTAGCTACTTCCTGGGTTGGTTTCTGCCTCAGTTTGGCTCCCAGCAGTGAAAACTAACACTATTTTGGTGGTCACCCTTCCTTTTTCCATTGTATTTTTGTTTTAAATCACAGTTGCTGTGCTTTCCACAGATATTAGCCACCAAAGAGTTTCCTGGAGTATCTAAAGTGATCACCACATCCAGGGCAGTGTGCAGCATGATTTGGGGTGCTGACACCTTCCACACATAGGGAGAAGCCATGACCAAGCTAGAGAGCATAGAGTAGAAGAAAAAACTGTCCCAGCTCTGGCCCCCACTAACTACCATTAGTTAGTGCATTGCACTAACTAATGCATTATGCATTATGCATTGCACTAACTAATTATGGCATTGCATAATTTACTTCCTCTCTTTGGGCCTCAGTCTTCCCATCTGTAAAATGGTAGTATTGAATGAGATTGTCTCAGTCTGGCTCAAACTGAGAAAAGGATTGGAAGAAATGAGACCATGCCCCAAGCATTTAGAGTGGGGTGAAGTATGCCGGCAGGGCCCCTTTTATTTCTCCTATCTCTGGGCACCGCTTCTTTATACTGGTCCCACATTTTAAAAAAAAGCCTGTTGGAAACCCTCGCCTGACTTTGAAGGAGTCAGGAGCCCTCCCTTGCCTCCTCCCTTGCCTCCTCAGAGTATAGATTCAAGAGACATGAGTCTGATTCTGCTCATGGGAATAGAAAGGACAGTGTTCTAGCCCTTCTGACACCTAATCTTCCAGTGCATCTGGAGACAAACTATGAAAAGAGCAACCTTTAAAAGCCAGACTGTATTTTTAGAATTTTGTATTTCCTCTTAGCCACAGTCCTGGGAGTAATACAGCAACTTGTCTCCTTGACAGGGGACAATACGTATAAAAAAAAAAACAGAATATGTACTGCCACGATCACAGTGGAAAAGCGCCTTTTTTCCCCTGAAGCCGTCTCATTAAAGATTCTGAAGACTACTCCCACCATCGACTTTTGTGTTCCTCTTGTCTGGTTCCATATGATGGGTTTTCAAAGCCAAAGGGTAACTTCGTATTTATAGACTGTGGAAACTCTTTCTAGTTCGTTGACTGTGTTATATATGATACAACAAAAGACTTTATCTGCAAGGTAATTGTGACTCAAACTCCATCTGAAGCTCAAGAAGCCTTCTGAATGGGTAGGTTATCTCTTCCACAAATTCACTTCATTGGTGGAGGCCCAATTTGAAAAGTAAACACAGTCAACCCCACTTTCCCAAAGTGCCCAAATGTCCCCTCCTGGGCTTGTGAATAGGCAACCAGATTGACCACTGAGGGGAATAGGGCTGATTATTGGTTATAAAAATGGATTTAAGAAGAGTTGAAGTCAGTGAGGGATTGTGGTCAAAAGGAGATCCAGGAATTATAGGGTTAGGGTTAGGCTTAGAGGCAGGAAAGGCATCGAAGGTGAACGATTATGCCCTTCCAGATAGGCCGCATTGTTGCGTTACACTGCAGGAACAAACAGCTCCCAGATCTCAGTGGCTTACGGCAAGAGTTTATTTCCCACTCATGTTACTGGCCTGGGCGGTGGAAGGACTATTCCACACAGTCCCTCAGACCAGTGACTCCTGTGCCTTCCCACAGCTGTGCCATCTGGATGGAGCATGTGGCCTGTTGGGTTTCTGAAGGGAGTCTGGTGGACGTGGACTTTTTACTGCTTCCTTCAAGAAGGGACATGCATGCCATCACCTCTCATATTTCACTGGCCAGACCTAATCATATGGCCCACCTAACTGCAAAGGTTGCTGGGAAGTGTAGTCTTCCATATGCCCAGGAAAAGGAGGAAAGCCAGATATTGGTCAGCACACGTGATGCCTGCCAATGCAATCTAGAATCAGGACTGCAAGATGAAGGAGCTGATGTGGTGGGATAGACAGCAGGGAGTATGTGCAGAGATTCCTGGAAGAGTTAATTTCAACCCCGCTTTTCTCCAGGGTTAGAGAAAGCTCTAGGGCTGTCAATAGATTTGAGCAACGTCTTAGCAATTTTAGGGGATCTGGGAAATGTGAGCTTTTAAAGGGCCTCCCTGTTGTATCATTTTGATATTCTATATGTTTCATAATTTCATCTTCATCCAAATCTCTCCCCCAAAATGCAATTCCTCAGTGAAAGTATATGAACCTTAATTATGAAATCTCTCATCATCTTCGTCATTAAGGGAGTCTGAGGCATTGATTATTAGAAGTTTCTTCAAATCCTAAGTGGGCCTCAGGATTCACAGTCCCTTGTGGGACTAAAAGATTAGGGATTGGAGAGGGACAGGTGACTTCACAGTTTTAAAAAGTATGCTTCCAAACCATCTTACTGCCTTCTCTCTCTTCAATGCTCTTGACAAGTTTTAAATGTACAAACCTGTCTGCATCTTTTATCTTCCTCCAAGTCCTGAGGAAGACATGAGATAACATCATTTTATCTAACTGCATTATTCTCAGGATCTCCAAGATAAATACCAGCTACCGTTTCCCTATCAGAAAATAATGTTCCCTTTCTTTGAGTTTACTTTAATTAAAATAGGGATTTTATATGTGTGTGTGTGTGTGTTTGTGTGTGTGTATACACACACACACACCTGCCTCACAGAGTTGCTATGAAAATTAATGAGATGTTAGAGAATGAGAATTTGGAGAATGAGTGTTCAGATCCAGATCGATTTTTTTTTTTGGGGGGTAAGGTTGCTTCTCCTTGTTATCCAAAACTCAGAATCAAATAGATGGAACTGCTGTAGCAAGAGATAGCAATGTGTGTGAAGCACCTGGCGTTGTTCCTGGCAGCAGGAACTAATACCAGTATTAGTACCACAGGTGGTAGTATTATTACTGCTGATTCTGATACCATCACCTTTACACAACGATGATGGGTTTTTCTAAGGGATTCGTTTTAAGTGAACCAAATTCTGCTTGTGAACATAGATTTTTCTCCTGGGGATGCTTTTTAGCAGAATATAAGAATCCATTTTAGTTTCTGGACCTGGGATTTTGCCTCACTCCTCTTTCTCTTTTTACCTCTTTTCTTTCCTTGTGTTGCAGTAGTTTCAGGAATGACAACGCTGTTCGCAGACTCCGGGCTCAGCCCTGCTTCTTTCCTGTCATCTCAGCTCTCCCACGGTGTAGTGACTTTCATTTTCTCTTCTGAATTGCAGTGCCGGTGGCAGATATCAAAGCTGTGGTGACGGGGAAGGACTGCCCTCATATGAAAGAGAAAGGTGCCCTTAAACAAAACAAGGTACGATTTACAAATTGTTGCGAACAGCGCTATCTCACAGAGCAGCCAGAGACGGCAGGGGAGGGGGGGGCAGCCCCACGTTAGGAGCAATGTGCGTGCGCGTGCGTGTGCGCGTGCGTGCATGTGCGTGCTTGTGCTGTAGCACGTCACTTGCTCAGCTCTCCTTCTTCCTTTCTTGACTGCTTTTATATCCCTTAGCCTTATGCTTTCACTGATCACTTTCAAATCCCTCTACCCCCGCCTCTTCCATTCTCTCCCTTCCTGTCTCCTGACAACCATAGAAATTGCCTCCCCACTGTTGTCACCCAACCACCCTCAAGCCCGCTCCCCTCATCCCCACCCATTCTTTGGGCCTCTCCTCACTTCCCATTTATGTTCATGCTCTCCCTTCCCTGACTTCCACTCCAGTCTCTTCCATTTTCTCCTGCTGTCCTTACCTTCTTGGTAGCCTACAGCAGTCTCTGTGAAGCCTGGGAAAGAGGATTCAAAACATTTTAGAAAATTTAAGGGCGTGGTAGCCTTCAGCATCATAGAAAGGATGTAAAATAACTCAAACCCGTATTAAAGGGGAAATTTTCCCCCAGAGGTGAATATTGCTTAAATCGTCTTCATATCACAATATTTTTCACCCTCCCCTCCTAGTTACCAACCAGGTGTTGATCATAACAGCCCGGGTTCCATACTAGAGAGTGTGGGAGGAGGCACTATCTGAAAGGATGGAAGAATTTCCTTTGCCCCCACTTTGGAGGTATTTGCCCTTGGAAGGGCCACCAGGGAGCCAATTCTTTGTGTCTACCTCTTGCATCTTGTGATACACAGTACCCATCCATGAACAAAATTATCTAGATAGATCTGGGTGCTCTAGCCACCTTGATAGAAAATACCCCACAGATCAGTTATACTGTAAAAGTACTACTTAGGAAGATAAACATACTGTAAAGATACTGCTGAGAAAACCGACAGCAAGATCACTTGTTCTTAAGTAACATAAGTATAACTCACCTCAACTCAGTGTGAATTCCTTCTTTGTCAAGCCTGTCACAGCACTATCATATAACGCAATTAACTGACAAGCACACTGATACAACGGTGTGCCTCAGAGTCTGTGGGTCACCTGTTACACAACATTTCTCTCTTGTTCGTGATGTGGGGAAATAGAGATTGTACCACTCATCAGACTTCAGAGGAGCATCCTTAACTATACCAGCAAGGTCCCAGTCTTCATGGTTTGCCTCCTCAGCCACCTGACACGCAGAGCACAGTCTTGGGGAGCACTGGCTCAGCTCAGCCCCATGGTTCTAGAACACTTGGAGCTGAGCAGGATACAATGTGGGGAAATTGGCAGCAACAAGAGTTTATAACCCAGGGAAGGCCAGGAAGGGTGTAGCTGGCAGCAAAACAGACTGCAAGGACTCATGCGCTCTGAGTAGGGGTGGAGAACATTAGGTAAAATACATGTGGAGAGACTGCTTTCAGTTCCAACATGTAAGGTGCTTGGGAATTTTCACTCCTATCCTTATAGTAAGAAGAAACTGAATGAAGTGAAAGTCAACAATTTTCTTGGACCTACCCAAGAACTGAGGTTGCAGGGCAAACCACCACCCTGGAATCTGGAGAGTCAAGGGCATCCTGAGAGCCATAGCCCGATCTGCTCCCTTGGTGCAGAATCCACAGGAGCTAGAAATCATAGGATCCCTTAAATGACCATTCTGATAAATTGCTGTAGGCTGAGTGTGGGTTAGTGTGAGGTTGAGAAACTTGGGGTTGCAGTCTTCTGGGGAACATACTTTCATGGGCTTTACCTACTGTAATCGTAGCGGATTCTCACAGTGAAGACCTAAAAAGGACCACCCCTCATGTCTCTGGCAGGGAAAAAGAGTAAACATGAAATATGCCAGAGCCTTCTCCATAACAAAGTTCTGTCCTCCAGACCCTTTTTTCCTATCTAGGGCAAGAACATTTCTCCCATTTCATCTCATTTTAGCCTTTCTGTCTCAATGGTGGTGTTGGGGGTGGGGGAGACATAGTCAAGTCAGAGCCCAAGGAAACTGATAGGAAACTCTGCAGCCAGGCAAAAAGGGAGAGGATAGGAAGGGAAGTCTATACCATTTGAGAAGGTGAAAGCCAGAAGATACAGAGCCCCTAAAAGATGAAGACTTAATTGGGAAATATAGAATGCTATTCATGACCCATACCCTAGCAATACACTAATAAGACTCCAAGATAATAAAACATTGGATTAGGGAAGAAAGATCTGCAAGACATCAACTGTCTCTGAGGAGGAGTACTTAGGGAATCCCAAAGTCAATAGAGGAAATGAAAAATGGGAACACTAGAGGAATTTGAAGCCTCTGGAATTTATAGCTACAGCAAATATTAAACATATCCCAATTCTTTACCAGATTAACATACATCGTCACCATAAGGGTCTATATCTCCCACTTCCTGTTGCTTAACATAACATGTCTAGATCTCAACAAAAATTTTAGGCATGCCAAAAAGCAAGAAAAAATAGCCTGAAGAAACAAAGCAATCATCAGAACCAGACTCCATTATGACAAAGATGCTAAAATTATCAGACAGAGAATGTAAAATAACTAGATTATAAATGTCTTAGGCTCTAATGGGAAAATGAAACAACCTGAAAGAACAGATAGGTAATGTAAGCAAAGAGGCAGAAACTCTAGAAATGAGTCAAAAGGAAAGGCTATAAATAAAAGTACTGTCACAGAAGTGAAGAATGCTTCTCCTGGGTTTATCAGTAGACTTAATGTGGCCAAGGAAAGGATTAGTGCCTTAAAGATGAGTCAACAGAAACTTCTAAACTGAAACAAAGAGGGAAAAAAATGAAAACCCCAAAGAACTGAGAGACAATTGCAGAAGGTATAACCTATGTATAATTAGAATACCAGAAGAAAAAAAGAATGGTGCAAAAGAAATATTAAATCAAGAATGGCTAAGGACAGTCCAAAATTAATGACATACATAAAACCACAAATCCAGGAAATTTAGAGAACATTAATCAAGATAAATATGCAAAAACAATAATAATAACAACAAAAACCCCACCCATAACATTTAGGCATGTCATATTCCAAATGCAGAAAACCAAAGGCAAAGAACTAACAGGATAAATTCCCAAATCCATTATTACATGGGGATTTCAATACCTCTCTGTCAGTAATTGATAGATGAAGCAGAAAGAAAATTAGTAAAGGTATCGATGACTTAGAACAGCACCATCAGTCAACTTGATCTAATTACCAGTAATAGAAAATCCACCTGACAATGCAGAATACGCATTCTTAGAAGCTCACAAGAGACATTCACCAAGATAGACCACATTCTGGGCCATAAAATATATCCTAACAAATTTAAAAGAATAGCAGTCATACAAAGCATGTTCTCAGGCCAGAGTGGAGTTAAGCTAGAAATCAGTAATAGAAAGATAGCTGGAAAAATCTCACCAAATACTTAGAAATTTAAAAGTACACTTCTACATAGTTCAAAGGAGTCTCAAGAGAAATTACAAAATAAACTACATGGAGCTAAAATGTAACATCAAGATGTGTAGGATGGGGCAAAAGCAGTGCTAGAGGGAAACTTATAATATTAAACACATATCTATTAGAAAAGAAGAAGTATATAAAATCAATAAAGTTTCCACCTTATGAAGCTGAAGAAGAGCAATTTAAGCCTAAAGCAAAGAGAAGAAAAGAAATAATTAATATTAGAGTTGAAATCAGTGAAACTGAAAACAGGGAAAATCAACAAAAGCAAAACTTGGTTTTTGGAAGTTATTAATAAAACTGATAAACTTCCAGCCTGACTAACCAAAAAAACAAACAAAAAAAAAAAAAAAGAAGAGAGAAGACACAAGTCACCAATGTTGAAACAGGTGTGGAGATGATGATCTCATTGACGCATATGACACGTGTGTGGGTGGATGTGGCCTTCTTGTGTCAGACTCCTCTCCCTGTAGAGGAGACCAACAGAACAGAATAAATGACATTTTCCAATCTATTTTTTTCTTTTGTCATGACCTTCATGGAAAAATGGATGGACAGATGAATGAATGGGACACACTGCTATAAACATAGAGATAGATATATTAGCAAGTGGAGGCTCTTTCCTGGTATTCACTAGTCAAGATGTTTCTGTCACCCCCTGCTCTTCCAGGCTACCTTGAGGGCTGAGACAAGCAGTATCTTCCCCAGTCTGACGCTTTCATTGCCTGTACATGAAAACCAATTGTCTTGCAACGTTTCTAGCATTCATACACTTGGTTCCTCAGGCAAAACATCAGAAGGCAGAAAGGAAACCCATGGTTCTAAGACTTTCCTGCCTCAATCCCCCATACCACACCCCTTCTTCTAGTACTCCACAGGCCTGCTGCTCCCTACCTCTGGGACTTCTGGTAGAAAAGGGGATTATCTGCAGCTTAAAAAGAGAGCTGACAAAATGTGTCCACAGGAGATCTGTCAGTACATGGTAGTGGGCAGTAACCAATGTTACTGGCTCTTCAGACAGTTTTTCCAACTAGCGGGTAGGTTCTAACATTTTGTGCTATGGGACTTTGGTTAGTTCAATCGCTGAGCAAGGCAGACTTCAACATTAACATCCATAAGGGAGACACCTCGTTCATAGCAATACATTGGTAAATGATCAGACTTCTCACTTGTTCTGCATCTGATATGCTGGGTACTGTTCAAGGTCCTAGGAATAGAAAAGGAAAGGAACCAATCTGACCAGGTCTCACTGATAAGAAATAGGAATATATTTCACATAGCAGAAGCTTCCATCTCACCATGTCCTGGAATCCAGCTTTTATTTTTCTAGTGTGATTCATGAACCTGCCATAAGAAACAGATTATACTAGAAGCTAATGTTCTAGCATCAGCTTGAAAACCCTGGTCTTAACGCGAAGGCCTTTTATTGAGATTTGCTTCATTTCATACTTATATGAGACTGAGTATCTTCTTTCTATCAGGTCTGTGCCAGGAACTAGGAATTCAAAGATAAATACAACCTATCCCCTAGCCCTGGGTGTCTAGTAGATGTAAGACTTGCATGCCAGCATGCAATGATAATCCAATGTTGTAAAGCTCCTGGAGGAAATGGTGTCTGAGCTGGGTTGAAAAGGAATTGCTAAGGGAGGGAAAGCAAGAGGAAGATAAGAAGAGGAGAGAGTATGTGAAAAGGCACAGGGTGCTTCCAACATAGGACGGAACATCTTCTGATTGAGAAACATTGAATTCAGAGTATAGGATTGAGAGACAGAAGACAGAGAGAGAGGACCGAGAGAAGAAAATGGGTTGGAGAACTACTGGCTGATAATGCTAAGATAGATTGGGGCCAGAAAGTTATAGCTGCCCAAAGAAGGCAGTAGCCTCTATTATTTTATGTACTACATGAGTGAGTAATTTTTGCCTTCTAAAATAGAAACTCGAACTCATAGATCTATAGATGAGCAGCCGTGTATTACAGCTATGAAATCTACTGCTATGCCTGTAGCCATATTAAGCACACTCACATGCCAAGTTATATCCTGTGTTTTTGCCCTCAAGATGACCTGAGGAGATGGTAGAGAACTGACATAGCTCAAGGGAATTCTGGGAAAAATGGCTAAATGGGGCCTTTCACCCCAAAAGAATATAAGGAATGGTGGCCAGCACCTATACTAAAAATATGTTGCATAGGACTCTTGTATTCAGTCTCTCATTTAACCCCTGGAAAATGGCAGTCTCCAAAACAAGGTACTGTCTATGCCCAGAATTTCTCTGAGCCTCCCCTGACCCAGGATGCCTTGTCACTGCTTGCAGGCCCCAGAGTTGAGGATGGGATCAGAGACCCCAGGGCATGATTGTGAGAGATGGGAATTAATGGAATAGAGGATGAAAATAAGGAGCTCCTTAACACAATTTTTCACGGAATTAAATCCAGAGGGAATAAAAGACCTTAGGTTGTGAGTAGCAAAGCCCCAGAGCATCAGATGTCTGAATGCTGTGGAGTGTGATGAAGCCCCTGAGGGGGACGCTACCCCAGATCTGTGACCACTCCGCTACCACCTCCTGGCACCTCTGTCCCTCACAGACGGTTTGGACAGGTGGCAGCTTCTAGAGTGTTAGTCCAAGAAGTGCCACCACTCCCAGCTCTGTAGCCTCTATGCTCGAAGTGCTGAAGAGCTGACCTCTATCAATGACTCAATGACAAGCCAGAAACGTCAATAAAACTCATTATAGGCGGTAGCAGCCTTTAATGCAGGCGTGTGGATCAGAGAATTAATTCCTCCCACCCCTCCCAGGCAGCTTTGGTGAAATGAAAGTGGAGATTGACATTCTCACGAATTTCCCCTTTCCTGCCTGTGTTTATCAGGAATCTAGGTCATGACGACTCTGCTCCTTCACGTCCTCACTGGTTTGCGCCTTAGGAGGGCAAAACCCAAAGTTGGCAGGCCCCCTCCTTTCTCTCCCTTCTACGAGCCTCTGCAGGAGAGAAGGTGTCCCAAGGACAGCCACACGGACAGTCTGGTCTCAGATGACATCAACACCTAGTCAAGAGGCTGCGTCTGAGCTCTGATGGTGTTTACCCTGGCTGTCATTAGCAAGGGACTGATTCATGTGACTGCCTAAGCAGAGCACCAGTTGTCCAGCCTCAGCCCAGAAATCCATTCGTGAATTTCACCTCTGAAGGTCACCTAGGGCCATCACCATATACTGACGGGTCATTCACAGCAAAGCCCATCCTTTCCTTTTTCCCCATCCCTCAAGGAGGAGTCAGAGAGTTTTCCTAATGAATGATATTGAAATTAGTATGAAATCATCATTTATGTCAGTGTTCCTAATCTAAAAACTATCTTTATGAATTTTCAAGATCAGAGCTTATCATTTCTTTGAAAAAAATTTTATATTTAAAAAAAATAATCACCTATGATCCCAGCCCCTTAACATAATTATTTTCATTTCACATCATTTGCCTCCAGTCTCTGTCTACAGGTAGACATTGTTCCTGTGTTCAGTATGTAAATAATGTTCATTTCTCCTGATTTTTGTCACTTAAGATCAGATCTTCGTAACTATTACACTAAATGGCTAGCTGAATATATTTCTCTGTTAATTTGTGATTTCTTTAATGGTTTACCCAAATTGGGGAAGACATTTATTTGGTTCTCATGATACATTCTTACAGGTAATAATGTGTGCGGCGTTGGCTTACTCTTCGATTTTTTAGGACTAATCCCAGAAATGGGATCCCTGGTTCTTGATATGGATTGCCTGGTTTTTGTTTGTTTGTTTGTGTTAAAGATGACACCAAATTATGATGCCACTAGTAGGGCCCATGACAAACTCAAAGTCCCAAGAGAGATGCCAAACTTAATGGAAAAAATGTTTTGATTTGTTTTGGTGAACTCTTTTTTAAAATATCATTGATCCTCACTGGGCAGGCATCAATAGAGGCCCGAGGAAGAAGTAACGAAAATGAGGAGAGAGGTAGTTTGCAGAATAGCTCCCATTCCTGACTTGGCCTTCTTTCCTTCACTTACTCCTGTTTCTGGCAGGGTGAGGAGGCTGAAGGGTTTGAGATACTGGTAGTTCTGGGCTCAGAACAAAAGCTGCTCCCTCTTAATGAGGGGGCAGCTGGAGGTGAGTCAGACCCAAACGAACCCCACGAGAGCCCAATAGCCGGATGGTTGACTGTGTCAGGAGGGGCTTCCAGGTAATGCTAGGCCTTCAGAGTTCACCTGGAAAGAATCGTTTAACCCATTTGAAAGTCTGAAATCTGGAGCCATTGACCTTACCTGTCTGCCTTCCATCTTCTTTCTGGAGCATTCTTGCTGTGAGTTACTGGCCAAAGGCAAATCCTCTGACGGATGTTAGGCAGAGAAGGATGTGGAAAGATCTGCCCTCCTAAGAAATTATGCAGTCTGTGTGTGTTGTAACAATGCAGAGCATGGATACACTTGGCCCTTTCCCTCCAGATTAGGGGCTTTTAGGGTGTTGAGATGTTCCATGACTGTCTTCCATAGGTTGTGTTCTGCTAACTGCTCAAACCAATAGAAGAATCATTGTCCCCAATAATGCACAGCACATATAATTTGAGAAGTATATTTTAACATACATACTAGACATGACATTGAGTGTTTCAGCCAATGTCATACAGCTACAGTGAAATGACAGTCACTTACTCCTTGGCCCTTTGGGTCTGGCTCATAGCCTGCAGATAGCAGATGCTCACCAATGAATGAACCCACGTATTCTAACATTGGGCCCTTGCTTGACCTTTATACTCTGTAGCCTCTGGATAACATCTAAGTTTTATGTAGCCTTTGCTCCATAGTACGTCAAAAAGCAAAGGACCTAAACATAATGAGTTCACCCACAAGCCTCATTGGCTCCTATGTAGCTTCCATGTTTTAGGAAGTTCATACTCCTATGGACATCTGTCTGTTTGGGGGTGATCAAAGATAGAGCAGCCCTTAATCTGCTGGTTGGGAAACAGGTTACTATTTCTCCGGTCTCTCTAAACCTAGAAGGGAGAAGCTAAAGGAAGAAGACTATCATGGCTTTGGGGTTATGGCTTTGGACAATGATTTAACTTCTCTGAGCTCCTTCCCCTAAAAGAGGAAAGATCACACTTGCTACAAGGACTATCTTGAGAATTAAATGAGTTGGTTCATGCAGACCTCCCCTAAATAGAAGGACATGTGCTGTGAACCTTGATAAAAACAAAAACAAAAAAAAACACTCCTTCCTCCTGTCAGCCTCACTTCTGCCTCTCACATCTGGACTCACTCTGTGTTCGATCCGCAGCCACTTGTACCTGCAGAACCAATGTGGCCCTTTTTCTCAATGTGGTGTTTTCTCTGATTCCTTGTAGGAGGTGCTCGAACTTGCTTTCTCCATCTTGTATGACTCAAACTGCCAACTGAACTTCATAGCTCCTGACAAGCATGAGGTAAGGGTCTCAGTGGGGTTAATTTGTGAGAGAATGTCACTTTTTCCTCTTGCTAGAAAAACAAGCAAGAGAGAAATATTGTAAAGAAATATCACTTAAAAAAAAAAAAAAAAGCCTGCCTAAGAAAAATCATGAACAAGGAAACATCTCGTTGATTTGGAATAGAATGGAAACTTCTTTTTTTTTTTTTTAAAGATTTTATTTATTTATTTGACAGAGAGATAGAGATCACAAGTAGGCAGAGTGGCAGGCAGAGGGAGAGGGAGAAGCAGGCTCTCCACTGAGCAGGGAGGCCGATGTGGGGCTCGATCCCAGAGCCCCGGGGTGATGACCTGAGCTGAAGGCAGAGGCTTAACTCACTGAGCCACCTAGGCACTCTGAATGGAAACTTCTTTAAAAACCGCCAATTATTACAGAATCAGCCTCTTACTAGCTTGACCAAAAGTTCATGGTAAAGAAAGAGAATGTACAAATGCTTCAGCAAGGGCATAATTGTCAACCCTGAGGAAGAATCAGCCTTGAGGAAGCTTTGGTTTCCATTGAGTATTGGATTTTGAGTCAGGATCTTCCCAAGATAAACTTGTCTCTATTCTTTAAAACATTGGATGAAGTAGGTTTTCTACCATGTTTCCTTAAGTTATTTTGAGATTCAGGGCTGTCTCTGCTGTTGGAATTTTATTTTTAAGATGATTTTATTCCTTTTTGACATCTTGTTATATGTATAATTTGTTTTTCCTCTTGAAGCACGCCTGTCAGCTATATTTAAAATATTTAGCATAGATCTAGGAAATGTATTTGTAAGGTGAAATACAGCTATGGTTGATGTAACTCGCTCTCTTGTAAACGTGAGCCCAGCATTATGCTCCAAACTCTTTATTTTTAGATGATACCATTCAAGTTTTTGTTTTACATGTGGTTGCATAAACAGCTTTTAGAAAGGAATGGAACATTTTAATAGAATCTGACTTTTGTTTCCCATTTCCCCTAGGAGACTCTGCTCATTTAGAAGTTATTCAGTATCTGCTTTTCACTGGTTTAAAGCTTTTGAATAAAATCGTACATCCCAAAGAGAGAGGAAAGATTAGATGCAAATCCTGCATTTAGAATGGTGCTTAAATGTAATTCTGTGTTACTTGACATTTAGTTTGCAAAAGGGTATGACTTTGTCTTCATCTTTCTGAAAATAGATACTGAGGCCTACTGCTTCTCTTTTTAAATAAAATTGTGGTTATATACAGGCAGGCCACCGTATTAAGAAGGAGAACTCTGGATGTTATTTAAATCTAGGCAAGGCTGTTTTCTCCAGTGTGCATTAATTCCAGATAAGGACAAATGTTCTCCGACTGCCAAATTTTTATTTGTAACTGCCACCTTTTATTGATACGGGGAGGTAAAAAATGCCATACACTTGTGAACACTTCTCATTTCTTCAGCTCTCTTTCATATGTATTACCTCGTTTTATTTGCATAATCACTCAATAAGACAGGAAGTCCTATTACAGATATCTTTATTTATCATATATGGAGAGAAGCCTCCCAAAATCGAGTACCTCAACGTTAGTAAGGATAATAGTAATTGCAACTAGCCCGGATTTCTCTCTGCCAAGCACCATCCCGTGTCTTACGGACGTTCACCTCACTAAATCTTCATTATACCTCTGAGAGAAACAAACTATTATGCCCATTTGATAAAGGAGGGAAATGAGTCACAAAGAGGTTAAGAAGCCTGTCCAAGGTCAAACTAGTTATAAGTAATAGAGCTGGAATTGAAACCACGGAGCCTTGCTCCAGGGTCCCTGTCTCCTGGGTCCCTGCACTGTGTAGCTAGGGAGGCAGGAAGCCGGACCAGACCTCCCCACTTCCGCCCTGTGCCCGTCGCCCGCTGTGGGCAGTTAATCACCTCAGGGCCAAAGTGGCACCATCTGTACCCACGCCGATGTCCAGTTGCCCCCCCCTCCGGATTCCTAGCAAAGCAAATCTAGAAAAATCATTTATTTGTAAATATTCTAGTGTGCCTTTCTAAATAACAGTGTCCATTTTGAAACCAACTACAGTACCATTCTCACAGCTGATTTGTTAACATTTTGATACCACCATCCGTAGTTGGTTTTCAGACTTCTCCCCTTGTCTCCTTTGTGTGTTTTATTTCTTCTACACTTTGTTCAGATCAGCATCCAAATAAGATCCATGCATTGCAATTGGTCAACATGTTTCTTTGATTTCCTTGAATCTATAGGTTCCTCCCTTTCTCTCTCTCTCTCTCTCTCTCTCTCTCTCGGGAGCATCTGCTTGTGCTCTTCTTCCTTGCAAACCATTCATTGAAAAAAACAGGTCAGCTGTCTGGTAACCTTGCTGAGAGTCTAGATTTTGCTGATTATAATTAGGTGTATTAGTTCACTGTGACCACTGTCACAAATTACTGCAAATTTAGCAGCTTAAAACAACATAAATGTATTACCTTACAATTCTAGAGGTCAGAAGTCTGATGTAGGTCTTTTGGGGGCTAAAATCAAGGTACTGCCAGGGCTGAATTCCTTTTTGGAAGTTCCAAGGGGGAAAATCCATTTCCTTGCCGTTTGCACGTCTAGAGGCCACGGGCATCCCTTGACCATGACCTCCATTCTCCCACAACCGTGGCGGTTGAGTCTCCATACCACCTCATTCTGACCTCCTCCTACATAGTCAGAACTCCCCCCTCTCTCTCCCTTCTCTCGCTCAGTTCTATCCTGTTTCCCTCTTCCACTTTTAGGGACCCTGGTGATTACATTAGCCCCAGCTGGACAATCCCAGAGGACTTTCCTATTTGCAGCTGCTTAGCAATTTTAATTCCCTTTGCTGTGCACCCTAACATACTCACAGGCTCCAAGACACGATGTCCCTTCAAAGGAGGGTGTTCTTCTGCCTATTGCAAGCTGCACTGTTATTTCACGGTTATCCGTTTCCCGTATTTCCAATTGAGTGGTAGTCAGAGGATTCATCAGGTTGAGGCTCAACTTTGAGCAACAATGATGTCGTATTCTTCCGTGGTGTCTGGTTGTCTCTCTTTGGGGGATGTTAGCAGCCATTGGTGATTTTGGCCTAGATCCTTGGATGCGTTAAACATTGGAAAGGCTGATACCTCAATTTGGTCATTCCTTCTTCTTTATTAGTGCAAAACTGGCCTCATATTTCAGGTTACACAGTTTATATGGAATAGGGAGGGTAAACCCTTGACCATCCTTGTCAGTCTTCAGAATAATGCACGTCTTCCAAATGAGGACAGTGAGGTGGTTTTGGTGTTTGGGCATTGTTATGAAGTAACGGATTTAAACATATTTGTGTTTTCATGGGTTGCAGTGATTGTCACGGTCAGTGTCCAAATAATCCTGTCTAGAGAAAGTAGGAGCACCTTCTGGTTGGCTTCCAAGTCCTACTGACATGACCCCAGATGTCTTGGACAACTTTTAGTCATGCTGCTATGACAAAATATGCCAGGCTTATCTGCCTTTTCTCCGTGGAGCCATGGTCCCTTCTGGTAGAAAGTGGTATTTAGCAACCAGAATCTGGCCATTAGCTGTGCATACTAGTACTTGGTTGGTCATTATTTTTAGGTCTTTTTAGGAGAAGAGCTAGGAGTTACATTATTTCTTCAAAGATAAAATACATTTTAAGTTCATTTTGATACTTTGAACTCAGATTCAGTCCTACCGAGTTTTTATTTATTGGTTGATGTACTCTTTAATAAAATTTTCTGGGCCTGCTGCTTCTCAAAAGAAAGGCACCACAGAAGTGTTGCTGTGGGTTAATCTGTACTGGGAAGCTGGCCAGAACTGGGATGTCTCTACAAAAAGCAGTAATCCCATGACTTGGGGATTTATGGTCAAACAGTGTTAGAGCCGGAAGGGGCCTCAGAGCGCATGGAGTTCAGTGGCCCCCACATCTGGAAGCGTATCAGAATTAGCTGGAAGCTTTTCTAAGTAAAATTTACTCACCACAGATTTACAAGCCAGGATCTCCAGGGTAGAACCACAGTATCTATTTTCAGGAAGGTTATTTATGTGGAAAGTAACGTTTAGAGGAGTTCAGAATCTGTCTAAGGTATTCGTGCGGACATGGGTACTTGCAGACGTCTCTTAGCGGTCAGCTGGTGTTTAGATGGGTTCAATGGTTTGGCAGAGATCACAGAGCCAAGGTGAAGTTCTACACTTCAGGGCTGCACTACCCAGACACACATCCTCGGAATATACCCACAGTGCATCTCCTCGGCTTAAAAAGTCCTGCCACTGGTGTGCCTCATGGGAAGATTCCAAATCGCTGTGGCTTAGGGTTTGTAAAGGGCTTACAGTCCTGTAGTACATTTTGCTTTGAGATCTGCTGTTATACTCCAGGTAACCACAGTGTAAAGGACAGGCTACGTGTAGGGTCTGGAATTGTAACTTGAGGGCAGAAGAAGGGGTGGCAATCTAGAGCCCATTCTAGAAGGAAGTCTAATCTGACGGTAAGAAGAGAACAAATGCTATCACAGAGGCCCTACAGAGGACTAGGAGATCCTAAAAGGTGAGTGGAGCACAGCATCCAGAACGCAGGCTGTTCTGTCAGATGCTGGCAGCGGAAGCCAGTTTGGCCACCACGTATTTCGGCTCTAATGCCAAGGCCCAGGGCTCTAGGAGGGAAAACAGAAGAGCAAAGCAGGTCCTCAGATAAAGGAAGCAGAGTTTCTTTCTTCAAGGAGTCCACAGTCTACTGGAGAAACAAAAGGCATGGTCAGTTTTTGGTTTTTGGTTTTTGGTTTGGTTTTTTTTTTGTTTGTTTTGGTATGGTCAGGGTTTTTTTTGTTTGTTTTTGTTTTTTGGTTTTTGGTTTGTTTGTTTGTTTGTTTGTTTTGGCATGGCCAGTTTTAATGAGAAAGGAAGAACCAGTTCTTAGTTGAGTGCTCCAGAGGGCTTTCCAAGATCAGCGCTGTCCCCAGGAACTAGGCTTCCCAGACCGGGAGGAGAAGAAACCTGGAAACTAGAGACTGAGGGAGAAGAGACAGGCAGCCAGTCCACCTCCCATGAAGATCAGCCAATAATTTTAGCCATTTTGTCCCGCAGACACTGGGCAGCAGAATGTTATCACCCAGCCCTTTGCAGAGAAATGCTAGGGTGGGATTACCATTGGCTTTGGGGTGAGAGCCGGCTGTCATCGTGAGTGTTAAGAATCCGAAAGAAGAGGCCAAGATTAGCCACTAGACTAGGAACTATGCTTGGAGTCAGGAAAGAAGCAGGCTTGACTTAATGCTGAGTGTGGGCATGCTAGGATATATCCTACCAATAGCTTAAAAGCAGACTCACTGGTAGGATGTTGGAGGTGCAACGTTGTGAGGTCACGCAGAACTCAGATCCTCCTGCTGTTACAGAAGAAGCATCATTTGCACTGAAGAGTGCAGGTGCACTAGAGTTAGATGGCCTGAGTTCCAGTCCCGCCCACTCCACCTGCTACCACGTTCCTCAGCCTCTTGGCACCTCGGTCCTCTCACCTGCAAACCAGAGATGTCAACTTTATAAAGTGGTGATGGAGGCAGAGCACTTAGGACAGAGCCCAGCACATGCTGAGTGGTCATTTTTAACCTCTGTCACTACTCTTGTCATTGTCATCAGTAGTCAGTTACCCTTGTCACCTCCTTTTCCACCAGTACTGTATCTGGACGGATGGGCTGAATGCGTTGCTGGGGAAAGACATGATGAGCGAGCTGACCCGGAATGACCTGGACACCCTGCTCAGCATGGAAATCAAGCTCCGCCTCCTCGACCTGGAAAACATTCAGATCCCTGACGCGCCTCCCCCCATCCCCAAGGAGCCCAGCAACTATGACTTCGTCTATGACTGTAACTGAAGTGGCCGGGCCCAGAAGCGCCCCCCTCCAAAACTGGAAAATCGAGCTAATGGGAGAGAAGAAAGAAAACACACCCACACCTTGGAACCCTCTCGCGGTCAAGAGAAGCTGTGGGTCAACACTGTCTTTGGCCTCGCCTCTAGCCCCAGCATTCTTCTGCCCCTACCTGGCGTCTTGCTCACTGCCCTGATTCTGTTTCTAGACTCCATTGCTTTAGGTCACTTCCCACTGCTGCAGTCTCCTGGCAGGAGCAGAGCACAATGAGAGAGCCAAAGGGCCCTTCCATCCGGACCCCCTGCCCAATGCCCAGCAGGCACATCCTCCCTCCCTGGAGGGGCCAAGCCGGCAGCACCAGACTGCCCCAAAGCCTGCCCGTCAGATCGAAGGGAATGCCCCAGTGCTTGTGTCTAGAAGAAACAGCCTCGCTGCCAGAGAAGACCAAACACCACCTCCTCGTTCCCCTTCTCTCTGGAGTCTGCTCACATCCCCAGTTCCCTGTGATTCGAAATCTGCTTTCACATCCCTTCCCTCCTCTGTGCAGGCCTTTGCCTTGTGCCATTCCTCTCCAGTTCCAGGAGCAGCAGCCGCAGCCTCGTCAGAGCCGTGGCCGCAGCGGGTCTCCCAGACCCAGTCCCAGGTCCCGTGCCCATGTCACGTCTGCACTGTGACCAT